ACTTGCTGTTTTCCTCCTCGCCGAGCCATGCATGGAATTCCCCGACGATGTGCAAACTCGGTGTTTGTGCTCTTGCTGTCGTCAGGCAGAGGGGTAGAACGACGTCGAAGGAAAGTTGGACTCGGAGAGGCTTGGCGACGAAGCATAGAGCTGGAAACGGTCGGGTCCAGCTGAAAGGTCGCACGGAAGATATATATATATATATATGCTCCTAGTCCATCCCGCTATTGAGCCTAGTGAGTGCGTCGCTGGCGAGAACAGGAGCAAGAGGCGCGACTTGTTTGGCCCACTCTGGTCCCTGGATCTCGGCCCAAGCTGCGGTTGAGAGTACGTTGAATGTTGAATGTTGAATGTGAACGTGCCGTTCTGTGCTGCTTGAGCACCAAAACCAAGTTATTCAAGAAACTGAAAACAGCGAGCTGAACTTTCTGATCAACACACCCAAACTACCGCTCTCAAGCAAATATAGCAATTCCAAATCGTGCCGACGTGACAAGAGGGATGCAACGGTTTTGTTCGGAAGCCGGAAAGTACGCTCCTGATGTGTGCAGGCAGGCTCCTCAAGGAGCGAATCTCGCAATCACCAAGCACCCGCATTCACAAACAGAGAGACGAGAATTTGCCGATAAAAGTACATTGTTCTTGTATGTATGTATAACCCAAGTATTGTTCTTGTATGCTACGTCGAATCAGGCTTTCGCTCAAACATCAAACGCCGCGCTCTTCCACCCCTCCGTCTGCCTCTCCCTCGCACTCTTCTCCTCCACGCTCCGCTGGAACGAGCTCACCTGCCTCTTCCCCTCCTTCAGCGCACCCTGCATCTGCTTCCCCACATCCGTCGCCGCCTCCGCCGCTTTGCCAACGTCCCCCGTCTGTCCCTGCACACCCTCGACCACACCCTTAAGTCTACTCTCCAGTGACTCCGACGCCGTCCCCACCGGCCCCCTCTTCTCCCCGCCCAACACCTGCGGCTCCGCCCCCATCGCAAACTTCGCCCCACCCCCCTGTTCCTTCTCCTCCACCACCACCCCCGTCCCCGTCGCCCTCCACCCCCCCTCCTCTCCCGGCTCAACCTCCCAAATTCAGACCACACCGCCGCCCCCAACGCCGCCCCCCTCCCCACCCCCGCATCCCCAAACACCTCCGCCCGCCTCCCCACATCCCACCCCACCCCATCCGCCCACTCCAGCGCCCCCCGCATCTGCTCCCCCAGCGTCCGCCCCAGCGCCTCCCGGAAGCGCATGTTGAATATCGGCTTAAACACCGCGAGGAGCAGCGCGTGGTTGGAGTCGCGCACCTGCACGTCGACGGTGTCGGCGATGGAAACGTCGAGGCGTTCGATGATGTGGTACCGGCGCTGCTGGAGGCGCTCGGCGGCGGAGGGGATGAGTCGGATTTTGATGTCGACGTCGATGCCCTGCGGCGGGAGGGTCAGGCCGAGGAGCCCGGTGTACTCGCTCGGCGGCATCGTGGCGGTTTTGTCTTTGTAGTAGAAGGATACGTCCTGCAGGGCGAGCTGCACGGCCTGTAGGCGGATGTGGGTGAACGTGCCGACGCCGGTAGAGGCAGGGCCGGTAGACGAGGTCTGCACGTCCACATCGGTGATATTCCGTACGAAAATATGCGCGGGGTTGAGCCCAAACGACGAGATATCGAGGTTCTCGAGTACGAGCTCGATCTCGTCGTCGACGTACTCTGTGCGCGGGATGGGGATGTCTTTGAGCATGGAGAGCATGCGCTGCAAAGCCGAAAATCAGGCAACTTCACGATAAAAAAAAGGGGGAGGCCTACCGGGGCGTACACCGCGAACAAATCGCGCCAGAACCACGACGCCCTTTCCAACACCGCCTGCACACCCGTCTCCGCCTCCTCCCCCGCCTGCACGAGCCCCCGTTCCACATCCTCACCCAGCCGCGCATGCGCCGCCCTCAGCCGCTGGACGTCCGCGTCCCCCGCCAGCGCCGCCCCGAACGTCTGCGCGCTCGCCTTCAGCTCGCCCCACGCCCGCCCGGCGTCGGTGTCCGCGTCGAGCAGGGTGCGCGCGCGCGTGCGCAGGTCGCGCCGTGCCGCCCGCGCGTCCGCGGAGCGCGGGTAGTCGGGGTCCTCCAGGCTGCGCTGCGCGTGCGCGAAGAACTTGTCCACCCAGCTCTTCACCTCGACCGAATCGCCGCGCACGGCGGCGACGAAGGCCTGTGTCCGCGCGAAGAGGTCGTCGGTGCTGGCGAAGCGGTCGAGGAGGGTTTTGAGCTCGTTGAGGGCTTTGTGGATGTGCTTGTCAGACGAGGGGTCGTCGATGAGGGCGTCGAGGGTGAAGGACTGGTCGAGGGCGGTGTCGAGGGCTTTGGAGACCCATTTGTGGAGGGTGGAGAAGAACGTGGAGAGGGAGGAGCGGTAGGCGGGGTCGGTTTGGGCGCGCGCGCAGGCCTAGAAAACTGGTTAGTAACAGTCGATAAATGATATGGGACTAGACGTACCTTCTCGTACGCAGTCTGAAGGCGGCTGGTGGTGCGGTCCGAGGCGTTCTCGGCTGTCTCCTTCGCCGACTGGCCTGCACCAATAACACCCGACCCAGCGTCCTTCAGAGTGTCCATGCCGTGCTCAAAGGCGACGCGGACGTCTTGCTCCTCCTCAAGACGCTTCTTGTCGCGGCCGAGGTCATCGCGCTGGCCATCCTGCACGCCTTGCTCGATGTCCCTGAGGCCGTCCTTCGCACGGCCCGCCTGGTCCTGGACAGCCTCTGCCGCGTCTGCGAGAGCGAGACGGGCGAAAGAAGCAAAGTCGCTGAAGAGGAAGCCGCCTTCGGTGGAGAGGCTCTGCCAGACGATGGAGAGGATGGTGCGGAGGGAGCTGCGCACGGCGTCGACGTCGTTGGAGACCTCCGTCTTGTTGACGACATCGCTCGGCGAAGAGATTGAGGTGTCGACTTCGCCTTCGTTGAGATGCCAGATGGCGTCCTGCAGTAAATTGTCGTCTGAAAACAATTGTTAGACAAATGAGATGACAGGAGGCGGCGACGTACGATTTTTATTCGAATTGAGGGACTTGTGCGCGTCGAGGATTTCGCGGACGTCATTGCTCAAAACGCGGCCTTGGCCGCTCAGACTGTCCTCGGCCGGCTGCACAGCGGGGATGACCGAGTGCGAAAGCCAGTCGATGAGCGCGTTCAGTTGTTGGGTAGAGGGAAATTTGCCGGCGTCGAGTGCAGCAGTGATAGAGGAAATTTTATCCATGGTTGGTCAGACGAGCTCCCTGCGCTGCAGCCGTTTTATACTGTAGCATTCGAGGAGAATGAGCTGGAAATGACGTCGGCACTGCGGGAGATGGAGGCGAAGAATGCATGACGAGCGGAAGCGTCAACTTTCCGTTCCACTCAGGATTACTGTGGGAAAACAGCTCGTGATCGTACTGCCCTTCGCGAGTCTTCAGTACTCAGTCGCTCACAGTCTAGTCGCGATACCGGCCTACAACACGCCTCATCGTCCCTCCTTCCGCTACAAAAGGGATCGTTCAACATCGAACAGAGAGACATGGGAGGGACGCGCGCTTGCCCCGTGCGTGACAATGAGCGAGTACCTGTCCTGAGCGGCTCTTCGCGCGCATCGCAGCAGCACGGCATCCTGACGCGGTAGGACGTGCCCGTCGCTCGTTCGGTCGCGGTACAACCCAACGCACCACCACTCCGCGCCACCTCCGCCTGTCGGTTTTTGGGGACACCCCGCGGCAAGGCGACGCAGGATGGGTCGATGCATGGCGGACACTCCGCGACCCCACAATGCGGCGTCATTTACTCTCCCCAAAGTTCAGACGCGCCGAGAATCGCATCAGATTCAGAGGTTGGCGCTCCCTCCCCGAGTCGCGCTCATTTCGTTTAGGGTGCTCCTCCCATTCTCGCCCGTCTTCGTCGGGGTGCTCATTTCATTGCGCCTCCTTCCTCGCTCCCGTCCTAAGTACAAGCCGGGGAAGGTCCAAGCATGGATGAGACACAAAGGAGGACCCTGACGCCGGGTCCTCATCCTGTGATCGTCTGCCACGTTCGAGCTATCTTATGTGCGCGCGATCGCCCTCGTCCCGTCTCGCGCTCACTGTCTCACTTTCGCCCGTCTTCGTCCCGGCCTGTGTGCGCGCGCTCGTCCCACCGTGCATGGGTATCCCTGCTCGCGTTCGTTGGCCTTCCCGTCTACCCTGCGTGCGGGTGCTAATTCTGCCTTGCACAGCGTTTATTTCACATCCACATCCATAAGGATTCTCTTTCCAACTTGTTTGTCGGCCTCGTCTAGCTCAGCACGTCTGTCTACGCCGTCCTCTTTCGTGAAGCGTACCCCTCTATCGGTGTATGTGCTCGATGTCCCGACCACGCGGTGCGCTTGCGTTGATCGGTGCTTCAGGATGCGGCCCTCTGCCCAGTGTGTGTACGCTTGATGCCACAGATGCTTCGCTATGCAACGAGCGTCTTCGTTTCGGTTCGCCCTAAGCCTGCATGTAGCTCGCCATACTGATGCTCTGACTGCTGTCCTGTCGCGCCCTCCGTCTTACAGCCACACTTTTGCGCTCATATCGTATCACCCCCCGGGCGTGTGCTCGACGGCACGGATTGCACACGGGTGTCTTTCCCCCACACCTGCCCGACGGAGCCTCCCTTACGGTACACTTTACTGCTTCTCGTCACCTCAGTAAGAACGTCAGCGAAGAGTGGTAAAATGAAGATGTAGTACAGTATAGTAGCAAGTGTCGCTGTTTCCCAGAGTCCTGTTTACGTCTTGAATACTACCTTTCATTGCAGGGCGCAGACGGTGTGGACTGCTGTGATATACAGTACTATATATGTAATCGCACCAAGCTCAATAAAACGGGATTGTTCGGTACTCAGTAGTAAAATTTTGCCCGTATACTGGTGGCATACGGGTTCACCAAGGTGCTGACAGGCTCCGAGCTAGATGACAGGAAATTGCACAAAATCGATATTCCAGCTACTCAAAATAAAAATAAAAATAAAAATGAGTTGCCCCCTAGCTGGATCGAACAGCTGATCTTGTCATTTATGTGCACGTGGTGTCACGTGACTTGTACAAGTGACACGCCTTACCGCTTGGCCAAGAGGGCGTTGACAAGCTATGGGATTTGGGACGCCATAAGGGTCATGGGACACGAGCCGAGCTGACCAGCACAAAAGGATGTCCGCTTGCCTTCAGCGAATCACCACAAATTACTTATCCCACCTCACGACACAATATGCTCCACGTCTCATTTTGATGAGTTTGACTGAGATCAAATTTCCAGAGAAATCGTAAAAAGTTGAAGGCGCAGGCACGTTTGGCATGCACATTGCTTACCGGCGTGAAGAATCTAAACGACACTGTGCTATCTATGTGGCGAATAAACTCGTCATTGTATGTAGGCTACACTATGCGAAAAGTCCTCTACAAAGTCTACAAGTGTTCTGCATAAATACCTAGTCCGCTGAGTCCTATCGCTCATTAATCGTTTACTTTTCAGGGTGTGATCGTGATGTTCCCGCTCAGTCGTACATCTCTAGAGCTGGTCCCGACCGACACCCCAATCGTCCCGTTCGGATGGCGCCAGCCCTGCGCGACCGTGTCCCAGAAACTCAGGTCGTGCCGCGAAAGCGTGATCCAGACCTTCTTCTTCTCGCCCGGCAGCACCTCGACGTCCGTGAAGCCTTTGAGAAGCGACGGCGGCTCGCCGGCAGAGGCGGGCATGTGCAGATAGAGTTGTGGAATCTGATGCGAGTCAGTCAGTGTTCCATCCGCTAACTGGAGTCGAGAACTCACATCCCCGCCCCAAACAGGCCCGGTGTTTTCGACGTCGAATGTGACATTATACAGCGGGCGGTGCAACCTGTGGCGAAGGTTAGAATATGTCCAGTGGAGAACAAAAAGAGTTGTACCAAAGTGCGGTCGAGGATCCCTGTGCAATGGGCGTCGCGTTTCCAGCCGCCCACGACTTTTCGAGAGCCGAGTCCGTCGACGCTTGGCCCGCCACCTTGGCAATGTGAAGCTGGCTATATGTAAAGTTCGTATAGCTCAGACCAAAGCCAAACTCAAAGCGCGGCGTGATGTTGAACGCGTCGAAAGCACGGTAGTCGACGTTGAGCCTGGAATAAAGTACGGTCAGCGCTCGCTCCAAAGGATGCATGAGACGCACCCCTCCGTGTACGTGATGTTCAGGATATCACTGCCTTCCCCGCCGAGGATGAGGTGCGCAGAATAGTCTGACGCATTCTTCGCGATGGTGTACGGGAGACGCCCGGACGGGTTCCAGTCGCCGTACAGCACGTCGGTGATCGCGTTGCCGGTCTCCGCCCCGGACACACCCGCCCACAGCACGGCAGTCACGTTCGGATGCTCAATCCATGGTTCGAGGATGAGTGGCCCGACGGAGTGTACGACCACGATTGTGTTGTTGTTTTGCGCGGCGACAGCCAGGACCAAGTTGTCGCCGTTGTTCCACGCGGTCAGGTTCTTCCTGCAACAAGGTTAGTTCGTTGAAACAATGAGTCAAATACTGCATACCGGTCGCCCTCATTCCCGTCCACGGTGATGTAATCCTCGCCAGAGTCAGACTGAAGGAAGACCAGGGCCGCGGAACGGCCGATAGCCATGTTCCCTGCGCGGTCCGTGTCAAAGTCGTCCAATATCCAGGAAACGCTGGTGCGATCATCTCTTGCACGTCTCTGAATCGCCTCCAACGGCTATAAACGAGTACTCAATAATCTAGAGATTTTGTGTCGACGATGAATGACGCACAGAAATGAGGTACGTGAAGTTAGCAGTCCTGCGGATGGAATTACAAAAATGAATAGAGTCAGAAAAGCGGAGCACCAACCCAGATCCCCAGCCCATCGCCAAGATTCCATCAACACCGCCCTTGGCACGGTAAGTACGAGAATGCGATTCAAACCGCGAGCGTACCTGATCCGCAAACTCATTCGGTCCCACCTTCCCGGGCCCCGCGTCGCTCCCAACAAGCACAATACTGCGCGGCTTCTTCAGCGGCAGCGCCCCGCCGGTATTCTTCAGCAGCACCGTGCTTGCCGCGCCGATCTCGCGGACAACCTTGTGATGGTCCTCCTGCACGTCAATGTGCTCGTTCGTCTCCTCGCTCGCGGGGTTGAACGCGTCAAAATTCGTCTTGGGAAAGTCGCCCGCGTCCTGGTGTACCAAGTACCACCCCGCGATGATACGCGTGGCTGATTCAGCAGGTCAATAATAAGCCAAAGAGCATCGAGGCCACGCACCCATGTCGTCGAGCCGCGCTTCAGGGATGGTGTTGTTCTCGACGTATGCTGAGAGGTTAGCGCCGAAGTACTAGCAAGTGTCAGGCAAATAGCGAGGGTTTCTCGGAGTGCGCACTGTAGTTCCCGACTGGAAGGTGATGTCGCCAGGCATGGTCATCTGAAGGAAGGTATGTATCGCTGCACCTAGTCTAAGGAATTGGGCTCACGTCGAGTCCAGTAATGGCGGAGATCGTGGAGTGGGTAGCTACGGCGGAACGGTGAGTGGCACCTACAAATTTACGTTGCGTGCAGACGCACCGGACCAGTCAGACATGATGTCTGCAGTTCATGAGCAGAGTACACCGGCTATCTTTACTGAACACTTACATCCTTGGAAGCCAAATTCACGCTGAAACCAATTAGATTTTCTGCGGTAAAAAACAGCACCAAGAATACCTTGATAATGTCATTCATAATCTTGTCATTTTCGCAGGCATATGTCCCGTTGATTAGATCTGCCTGGCGTTAATGGGCGTATGATGCGGAACAGGGGACGTACTGTAACTGCACATGATGCTGCGGCCAGTTAGTCTTCCAAAAAAAGCACCGAATCGGCACTTACGAAGCGACACCGGCCATGATACTCCGCATAAATGGGTGCGCGTATATTTCGTGCTGTGTCCGGTCGTCGACATCTGAGCTCTCTTGTGTGCGGAAATGCTCCTGCTCGCTGCATCGCCGTTAGCGCCCACGCCGGGCAACGGAAGCCGCAAACGCACTTGTTGATCAAATGCTTGGCGCAGGCCTGGACACCGCCTTCCTGCATACCTGGAACCGCGTCGTTATCGTCCTCCTGGTCGTAGTAAACCAAGTCTCACCCAAAATAGTTTCATACGCGGCCTCTCCTGCAAGGAACGGGTCGGCACCGAAGCCCTCCCAGTTGCGGCCGCCCTGGGAGACGCGCCCAATGTTCATCATCGGCCCAAGAGCGACGTTCACGCCCTTGCCAACATTCTCGCGGCCCATAGACAACCCGCGTAGCCGGATCAGCCTGCGGTTCCATCTGGACAGTAATGAAGTCTAGTAAAGGATTCAATGCATTGAACAGACATACGTGGCTGCCGTGTTGATCCCAGTAGGGAAGGCCGTGACAAAGTCGGCGAAACGGACGCCTAGAAAGAGTAAGCTCCAGCCAAGGACCTATGTAGATTTGTGAGCGACTGACCCAACGGTGAGTCCTGGGATACGAATTAACTCAGAGTTGAAGGGCAAAGTTCATGTACGAACCTCGAGGCATAGGCCTGGGAATATGGACCCATTTACACCGACTGGAGGTGTGTTACCCTGGGCGTTTGGTATCAAGAAATGCGAACAGAGCTCGAGCATTACTTACGACGCATCGCCCTCCCTGCCACCCAACGCCCGTACCGAAACTGACCTTTTCGTCTATTGTTAAGTTTGCAATCTAGCGATATATTAGTAAAGATACTTGCTCCACGCGGCGACTGACCTTGTTTTTCGCCTCCTGGTACGCACCCGCCCATGCATGTGCAAAGTCGGGAACGAGTGATGAGCCAACTGGGGGAGGAGTTCTTGGATCTGTGAGTTGGAAAACACCCGCGACCGGAGATTGAGAGGGTAAAGGGAAAGCAGAGAAGGGGTATTGGGATATTGGAACTGTAATGACTGTTTGTGTGGCTGCGACGGCGGTGTCTGTTGAGGGGGCAGTAGTTGCTGCTCCAGGGGCTTCCTGGGCTGCCGACCGCAGAGCAAGTATTATGATGGATATAATGGGGGGTAGCGGAAGCATGGTGGTGGAGAGGGAAGGAGAATGTTACCCGCGCGTGGCCGCGCCGAAAGTTCTTGGAGCCGGCAGACGGAGTTATTTCGGCGCCCGGGCCGGTTCAAAGACCCCTTTCTTCCTCAACCATGTTGGCCATTCTTCCACATAGCATATAGACAGCCTGTCTAGCTATAACACTCGGGGAGCTAACAGCTACTTAGTCAGTCGGCTAGGTCCAGGGCGCATAGCACAGGGACTTTTGCTGGCTCTGTTCTCCTCTCCGTCTACCTTCTCACCTTGTAGCGCTACTAGCGCACGATTCCTGCCCAAATAATGCGCCCGCTCAGCCTGCACCCGTCTGCGCTCAATGATGCTGAATACACGCTCTTCACCGAGAACCTGGCGTCTCTCCTCCGACTCGGAGCCGGCGCACACCGTGACGAACCCGAAGCACAAACACTGATTTTCGGGGTGGTGCGTGCATGGATGTGTGTGCGATATCCTGCAGTTCCGGCGCGAACTATAGATCAAGTACGCCGGATTGTGAGCTGAAACAATCTGATAAGTATCATTGTAGTAGATCTTGGCGCTTTTCCCCTCTAAAGACACAATTAACGCCGGCGAGTTCTTTGCGGCGCTGCGCCTCGTGTTGCACGTTGAGGCAGGCAAGGATGTTGACAGAGACTTGGCTTTTGTGCAAGGTTCGTTTTTGCGGTTGTCTTTCCATTGTGTTTTATGCCTCATGTAGCTCATGCAGGATCTGTAGCTTCAGTCACAGCAGAACGCCAACGGAGTATGTCCCGACTTCTCATGATCTGAGGCCTTCCCTGACTGCCATTAACAGCCAAAATTCCGCGCACTAGACTGGTGGAGTTTCTATACAACGTTGGCCCAAACCAAAAAGTCTTTCTGGTGGATCGATCTCGTCAATGTCTTGCCGCCTGAAACTCAACAAACCTACTTTGACAGGTAAAAGGGACACCAGGTTCCGGAAAAACCACCCTCTGCGGCCAACTCCACGATTATATCCTTACCAAAGACACGAGTGCTAGGGTCACCGTCATCAGTTCTTGGAAGCAGTGC